CTTTCCAACCTTCAAAAACTCATTTGGAGGAAGCCAAACCAAGTGATTTCTAAGACCTTCTTAGTTTTTAATTCAGCATTTCCTTAGCCCAGTCCCAGGACTCTAACAGTCATATCACTAAATGCTTCTCAAGGGCTTATGTGTGCTATCACTGTACGATTCTCTGGGGAGATGCAGATGAATGAGGAGCTCAAAGAGCTTGCATTGTATGATAGAAATCATTATTATCCCTATTTAACAGAGAACAGAGAAAAGTTAAATACCTTGCCCAAAGCCACAGAGTTAGTTAAGTGACAAAGCCTCAATTCAAACTCGGGTCTATCTTATTGCGAAGCCTAGAGCCCCTTTGGGCCCTACTGATGATTCTCAGAGGGAAGCATCCTAACCAGAGCCACCAGGTCCAGTAGTGTCCTTTCCCCTGTGGCACATTGCCTCCAAACTTGAAAATTCCTCTGCCTGTATCGATAGGGTTACCAGATTTAGCAAATAAAAATATAATACACCGTGACATTTAAATTTCAGATAAGCAATTCAACATTTTTAGCATAAGTGTATTCCATGTAATACATGGGTGACACTTAATTCTAAATATTTCTTTTTAATTATTGCCTGTCTGAAATTCAAATTTAACTACGCATCCTGTATTTTATCTGGCAATACTATCTGGTGAAATCCTCTTTTCTAAACACATGTGAAGAAATCAAGATAGAGAAGGGCTGCAAGGAGGGAGTCCAGGCAGGTTGCTACTCCCACCCCTTGCTGGCAGGCATTCTTACATCTCAGTCAGTTGGTGGACACACAGCAGAATGTGGACTCCTTGTTCTATGTTGTGCCAAGTCAGCCGTGGGAGCTCTGCCCAGTACTGTTTTAGAGAAGCCATTGCCACTCCTGCTAAAGGAAAACCAGCTGACTAGAGATGTGGACACAACCTTTCCCCTGAACCCATTCCAGCTTTCCCTTTTCCCCAGCCAGGTCTGCAGGACAAGAGCCTGCAGCCACTAGTGACCTCTTCCAGGAGGACCAGGCAGAGGGTGAGGAGCTGCCCTTTGGTTCCCTGGTTCCCACAATATCAAGTGATGGGTTGAAGAGGATGCTGTCATGAGACCCAGACAAAGCTCAATCTCAGCGTAGCTACTTTCTGGTTCTGTGAACTTGGGCAGTTTATTTAAACCCTTGAACTCCAACTTCCTGTAAAATGGGATGAGAAGAGGTCAGACGATTAGAATGAACAAATGAGTTAATTACTTAAAAACTCTATACAAACATAAGAAGCTATATTTTAACATCATGTCCATATGGAAACTCTTTTTTCATTTCTTGTGGTTAAAGTATCTGAGACATAGAACATTTTTTTATGAAAGGAAAATATAAAGACTTTTTAAAAGCTTTTTATAGTCACCCTTGCATCTCAACAGTATCTCATTATGGCTGACCTTTGATCTTTACTGCAGTATACTGAGAAATTTTTTGAAAATCGAAAAATTCTTTAGTACCACTGGGGAACTTAACTTACCCCAGAAATTGCATACGCAGGATTGAGAAATCCACTGTATGCTGCCTGATGCACCAAGATTCAAACCTGTGATTTGGCAACATCCCAAATTATAACTCACCACGAACCCTTTTAATCTCTATACGAACTAGCAACGTGAATATTTTCTGTCAACACCAAGAGTAACACTATTTTCAATCATTTTTGTGTACATCCTTCCAAGCTCTGTGTGTGTGTTTCAGATAGTTATAATTATGATATCTATGTATTTGTATCCTGCTTTTTCCACTGTAAATAATCTCTTACAAATTTGTCCAGGTGACTGCATAGTCTAAAAACCACCAATTTTAATTACTGCCTAGCTATTTCAAGTTACTCTACTATCATGTATCATTTCTTCTTTCTGGATATTTGCTGCTTCTAAGTGGCTTTTGATGGTCACTTTGAAGGTGACATGTGGAAGTGTAGGCACCATGTATGCATCACTTTCATCCTTTAGGTCTCACACACACACACACACACACACACACACACACACACCCCTCTACTAGGGAAGAATCCTAAACAGTTTCAAGGGTGTTCAATCCAGGGGATGAGGAGAGTGAAAGAGGAGGCCAGGACCCACCGTCTTTCTAAATGTAAAACTATGGTACCTTTGACACAGTGCTAACCCCACCTTAGATCTTATGTGTACCCGGGATTTGGGGGAAAGGATTAAGAACACAGTTATTTCCTCTTCTTTTCTGTCCCTTAAACTGTACCCTCCCCAACACCTACTACAGTGATATTAAAGCAGCATGGACCCAAAAGAGTGTCCTTAAAAAGAAAAATTGATTCTTATTGATATGCAGAAGAACCACCTATGCAGCCTGGCTGAGTGCTTCCAACCATAGACTCTGGCCCTGACAGCCTGGCTTTGAATCCTGACTCCTGCACTTATGAGCCCAAACTCTTAAGCAGGTTGCTTAACCTCTGTGTCTTGTTGCCTCGTTTATAAAATGAGGGAAATGATGAGACCTACCTCTCGGGTCCTTTGAGAAATAGATATGAGAGAGAGGTATTGGGGCAACACCTGTGAAGAATAAAGGGGGAGGGAGTAGGAGGAGTTGGGGGTGAGTAGCCTTCAGACTGTAGTACAGGTCAGCCACCTGTGAAGAGAGAGCAGGAAGGAGTGAGTAAGAGACCCTGGGCTGCAGGGCAGCCTGGGGAGAGTCTCTCCAGCTCAGTCAGACTAGTGGGAAGTTCCTACCCCTGCAGAGTATCAGTTGGGCAGAAATGGTTAACCCTACACTCCCTCCATGCTCAGTCATTAAGCAATCCAGGGAGATTGTGGCAGCTAAAGGCTGTCCACCAATTGCCCTCCCTCAGTAGGTTCCCTTAAGACAGTTCTGAGCCACATACCTTTGTGACTGACACGACCTCGCTGGGTTAAGTAAAGTACTTAGGACAATACATGACACATTGGAAGCACCGTGAAAGCTAAAACTGCTACCACTGTTTTATAGCATATGTTGTAATTCACCAAGCTCTTTCACATATATTTTTTTACTTGATCATCACAATCACCCCATGCAGCCCATACTTCATCTCCACTTGACAGATGAAAAGAAGGCTTCGAGAAGCCCTATAACCTGCCCAAAGTCATAGAGCTGAGAGTGGTGGAGGTGACACTTGACTGTAAGCCCCCAAGGGTCAGGGTATAGGCCACTTGTCCTAATCTTTGTGTCCTGCAGCAGCAGTTCAGATGGAGGTGAAGATAACACGAAACCTTGTCCTCTAGGAACTTATATTTTTGGTGAGTCAGACAAAAACATAGATAATTCCTGGAAATTCTAACACATGGAATTACCTCCCATTTCCCAAATATACCAGGTACTTCCTCCTCCTGCCTCCAGCCCCCAACCTTTCTTAGTGCTGACTTCTCAGCCTGGAGGCCCACCTGCTGAAATCTGCCCATCTCTTCCTGGCTGACCATTTTCTGCATGACACAATCCCAATCTGCACACCAAGGGGAATTTCTTCACTCATCACTGTGCCTCCATGTGCCACACTTTCCTCCAAAGCAGCGCCACTCTGCCATGCAGTAGAATGTGTTAGTTTACTCAGCAGCCACCTGTCAGCACCTAGAAGGCAACAACCATTTCTTACTTTTCTACAAATCCCCCACTGGGCCCAGTGTCAACAACAGCAATGAGAAATAAATGTGTCATGCATGAATGAGTCCACTGAATCTGTGATTGGGTGGGAGGAATGGAAGATGTGGAAAGTAAGTCTGCCAGCGGGAGTGATCATTCACACCAACACAGACACAGATAACCCAATAGCATATGATTGCTGTGAAGGAAAGAGCTGCAGGAGGTTGGGTGGAGGGGCCCTGAACACAGGCTAGGTGTTAAGGTGAGCATCTTTCTTGAAATGAAATTCCTGGTTGTTTCATTCTATGCTTGTATCCTCAGGGCCTAGCACAATGTGAGGCACATAGTAGGTATTCAGTAAGATTTCAAGGAGAGAGGGAGGGAAGGAAAGGAGAGGAAAAGAGAGGAAGGAATGGAGAGGAAAAGAGAGGAATGAAAGGATAGAAGGGTGGGTTAGTTTTCTAATATGACTCCAGACCAGGGACTCTGGATGAGACCCAATGCCTCAATGCAGATGCTGCCTAAAGTTGGCTACAGTGGATCTCAACCAGTGACAGTATAGTCCCTAAGAAGACCTTTGTCAATATCTCAAGACATTTCTTTTTCTTTTTTGAGACATGGTCTCATTCTGTTGCCCAGGCTGGCGTGCAGTGGCACGATCATGGCTCACTGCAGCCTTGGCCTCCCAAAATCAAGTGATCCTCCTGCCTCAGCCTCCTGAGTAGCTGGGACCAAAGGCACACACCACCATGCCCAGCTAATTTTTAAATTTTTTTGTAGAGGTGGGGTCTCACTGTGTTGGCCAGGACAGTCTCAGACTCCTGGGCTTAAGAGATCCTTCTACCTTGGCCTCCCAAAGCGCTGAGATTACAGGCATCAGCCATCACATCAGGCCTTGAAGACATTTTTGATGGTTACAGCCTGAGTGTTGCTAGAATCTAGTGGCTAGAGGCCAAAGATGCTGATAAATGTCCTACAGTGTGCACATCAGCCCTCATGTTAAAGAATTATCCCAGCCAAAATATGAGTAGTGCCACTGTTGAGAGATCCTGAAATAACCCTAGAGCCTGCAGACAGAGGTTGAAAACTGTATTTGAGAGAAGCTTGCCTGGTTCAAAGCATCCTTGGTTTCTAAAATGGGGACCACCTGAGAATCTACCTTTAGTCACTGGCTTAGCCTCCAAACCCCTTCAGAGATGACACCTGGGCGGGGGGGGTGGCGGCGGGCGGGGGGGAGGTCCAGTCAGCTTCCTACTCCCTCCTCTCCTCCTACCTCCTGGTTCATCCCAGTAATCCTGAATACTTGTTGGGAAAAATTTAAAAAAGCTGGAACACCGGGAGTAGGCTCAGTCGATGGGTGCTATCTGTTCCAGGAGCTGCTCAGAGACCCTCTATACATCGGCCTGAAACACCAGCGTGTGCGTGGGAAGGCATATGATGACTTGCTGGACGAGTTCATGCAGGCTGTGACAGACAAGTAAGTGGACCCAGTCTGTCCCTTTTGAAAGAGGACTTTTAAGAGATGCTGTGACTGAAATCAACACTGGTTTTGGTGGATACATAAAGAAAAGGCAGTAGATACATGCTTTTCCAGGTATTCTGAAAATTCCAACTTGACCCCTTGGATTGATAAGACTGGACATCAAATGGGCTCATTCTCTAGGAGAATCTATAGGAAGAGAGGGGAGGGAAGGAGAGGGCTGATGGCTGAAGGCTGTGATCTGGAGGTAGTTAAGTATCTGTTGTCCTAGGAGGAAAACCTCTTGGCCTGAGCTGTTTCGGATTCTCATCACAAGTAGGGATGTTGCAAGTGGTGGAGGAAAGATGTGTGCCCTTCTGATGAAATGGCTTTGGAAGGCAGCATGTCACATTTGGTTATTTCCCACCTCTCTGTGAGAACAAGGAAGTGTTAATGAGGCACTATGGCAGACCACATGGGCTCTGGGCCTGCAAGATTTATGAGGTGTCATCTCTTCACTGGGGTGCACAATATTGGCAGCTTCTCCCCTGCTTGCCTGCCCCATCTGTCTGCTATCTTGGCCGCCCACTTACCCTGCTGTGGCTGACGTGCTGCTGGGATGGAGGCCTGATGATAGCCCTCACACATCCATGTTTAGTCTGAGAGAAAAGCTGGTCAAGCCAGAATTTCAGCAGCTCAGTGGGCCTCTGAAGACAAAGCAGGTGCACTTCTCACTTACAAAAAGCCAGCCTTCTTATTGCCCGAAAATTGCACAGGTTTGTCAGAGCTGACCTGCCCATCCTTGGCAAAGTGTTCCCTTGCCCAAGCTCAGCCTCTCAAACCAGTGCAGTGGGCTGGAGCCCACAAAGTCTCATCTGGGTGGGCTTTAGGGGTCTGCAAACTGTAATTTGACCTTTGTGCCCTCCACTTTTTAGATATGTGACTTTGACCAGGTTAGTAAACTTTTCTGAGTCTCCTTATCTGGAGATAAGAAAAAAGTTTTTGTTGTTGTGTTTTGTTTTTTAAGATGAGAGCAAAATAATATTGTGGTTTATAAGGTGGAAATGATCCTGTCAAAAGAGGAAATGAATGATGGACTGCAGGATAGGGGGCAAAAGTCCTCAAGTAAGCAAGCAGGACAAAGGATTCATTGCACACCTGAAGAGCTCAGTCTTGGAGCACAGAAAACCATCCACAGGGAGAAAGGGAAGGCAGAGTACTGGGCCCTGATGGAGCAGGTGGGTAGATGTGGTGGTGGGAGTGAGGGAGAGTCCCATTTGCTTGAAGACAAGGTCATCAGCATAGAGTGAGGATGGGGAGGTTTAAGTTAGAGGAAGTGAAACCTAGTCATCTAGGAGAGTGGCAGAATGTCCAGACTGGGAAGCTAGAACATGATCACTGGGTACCTCTCTGGGCCCCCTTGGGGTTACTGTTTATTAATTTAACTTAAGCTAGTTAACCTGTTTCTGTTTCCTCTAGCGAAGTTCAACTGTCTGGGTCAAAGGGTAGGAAGATGAAGAGAGCAGAGTATAATCAGGGTTGAGGATTTTGCCAGGCAAGAGAAAAAGGGAAAGAGCCAAAGAGTTGAGAGCCTACTCAAGGGAATGGTTATAATTGCATTATGAGCTCTAGGCTGGTTAAGAGGGGAGGGAATGGGAGGACATGGTAGAGGGGAAGGATGAGGGACAGTGAAATGGTGATCAATGGAAAGTAAGTCCTGGTGAGGTTTAGAAACTGTTGAGTCACATAGTAGATGGAATAAGCTGGAAAGAAAGGAGGTGGTGATCAGAAATCTAGATGTTTGCTGCTGAAGGAGGAAGGGCTGCTATTGGGACGTGGCCACCAAATAAAGCAAATCCAAGGGTCAGCTGCATTAACAGAGGCACGGCATCTAGGACAGGGGAGGGAATGTCGTTCTTTATTCTCTCCCTTTCAGAAATTCTGAATACCATAACCAGTGCAAGAGAAGCTACATTGAGGTTTATAAATTACCTAAAGTGCCTTTGGAGAGCAATAACCATGATAGTGAAGAGAACCAAAAGCTGAGCCTGGTAGAGAATACTCAGAGACTGCCCTGTGTATATTAGGGACATGGTAGAACCTCCAGATTCTAAAAGCTGTTCTTTCAGAAGAGAATTGGACTCGTTTCTACATATTTACATGAAGAAGAACCAATTGGCAGAATGCTAAAGGAAGCAGTTTTCAGCTCAAAATAAATCAGAGCTATCTCACATTGGACTGGAGTATCTGTGAGAATGAGTTCCCTGTCACAGAAAGAGTTCAAGGATGAGTTGTGCGGCTTATTTGTGGTGATATTATAGGAAGGAATTCAAGCATCAGATGTTCTTTAAGCTGCCTTCCCACCCCAGTATTCTATTCCAACCTCTTAAAAAATCCTCTGTAGGTAGCCAGATAGGTTTTATTATTCCCATTTTATGCAAGAGAATACTGAGACTCAGAGAGGCCAAGTTAGCTATCTCAGGTCAAATAGTATCTGTCAGGACTGCTAGCTGAACCTGGGACTACTGACTCCAAGTACAGACCGCTTTCTATAATGCTGTGTCACCTATGGATGAAAAGAGAAGGAAAGGAAGTTGGCTTTGAAAGCCCACTGTTTGCTTCCTGTTTCCAGGGCTCAGTGCTTATCTAATGAGTCAGTAATCATTCTGTAATTCCCCAAAGAGAAATATTGCCATTCATGTGAGAAGGTTAAATAAACTAGGATGTGAGAGGCTGTTCAAATTATCATCAAAATCAGTTCACAGTTTTACAGACACACACAGGCAGTCCAGGGGATGACCCTTAGGGAGGGGCATGCGTCAGCCAACAGGAATGTGTCCTTAAACAGAAAAGATGATGAATTGATGGTTGGTTGTTTTGACTTTCTAATAAGCTATAGCAGATGTTTCTGTGGATACTGTAGGTGGGGAATGAGCTGGTCTCCCCAAGCAATCCTGGGAATACAGTAGCTCCAAGACAGAATGCCCAGCCTGGGGGTGAGTCAGGAGTTCCAAAGTCAAACACAACATATTTTAAGAAAGAACCTTGGGAAGTGTTGACTCCTGCTTTCAACATCCTCGTCTCTGTACAAACATCCTGCTAATAAAAAGCTCCACCTTCCTGGCCCTACCCACTAATAGGGATGTGTGGATTTTTTGGCCTGAAATAAATGTACTGTGGCTTAGTTCCTGTCCTGGAGCTTGGCCACTGAGGAGAACCTGCCAGGACGACGGAATCTCCATTTAGGTCTGTGAACCACAGCAACAGACAGCTGGGAGTGCCCTTCTCAAAGCTGTGACAAAGACTGATGGCAAGGACTGATTGCCTCATTCTTCCTGCTCTTTCTCTGCCATGCAGTGGATGGGTGCATTGTACCCAAGCACCACCTCCTGCTGTCATGAGTTTTCCATTCACATTTTTCATTTCTGTTACTTACAGTAGCATGGATGAGAATTGTCTATGTTTTAAGTTTGCACCTGGAGCCCTAGCTGTGTCTGATAATTGGCTTGGGCTGGACAGAAGCTTGATGTCAGCAGCAGCTTTGGCCTTTAGGCAAACCAGGAAAGGAAACCACCTCCTTCATCCCTAGTTCCAAAACCCTAAATACAGGGTTATATTTTATATACCATTTATTTTATTTTATACCATATATTTTATTTTATATACCATACTCTCTCTCTCTCTCTCTCTCTTTGCTCTCTCTCCCCTCAACCGTAATCACACACACATGCATAATCCTTGAGATTCATGCCATACTGGAAATCACAATTTTACTATTAGTGCTCCACGTAGAAAAGTTCTAGTTTTCACAGAAATTCATACAGCTGCAGGCCTCTCTGATATCTGGAGCCAGTTACCACAGGCCCACCCCTTAATGTTACCTTCCAAACTTGATGTGGCCCCCCTGTCCTTCCAGAGCCAACCCTGCATTCTCCAGCATTCATTCTCTGTGTCACTTCAACCTAAAAGTGACTCCTCCCATTCCATCTCCCCTCTGCTTCTCATCCCACTTGCTTCTACCCTTACATTTGGAGGGCTACCCTAAACATTTTTGTGCTGTCAGAATGACTAGATGGCTCTCCTGTGCCCTGATCAGATTTACAGGGATGAAAGGAATTGTGACTTCTTGGGCCTCTGTGCAGAGCAGAGCACCAAAATTCAAAGTTAAAGCTAAAAACAAGGAGATGAGATTGCAAGACTGTTCACTTGCCTCTTGATCTGTGGTGTCAAGGAACACATCTACTATTTCTTTCGCTATGAAACAAACCACCCCGAATCTTAGTATCTTAACATTTTATTTCCTCTTTGTTCTTGCAAGCTGAACTGACTCAGCTGAAGTGGTTCTTCTCCTGGTCTTGCCAATGGTCACACATATGGCTGCTTTCAGCTAGCTAACTAGCTGGGAGCAGGCTCAGCTGGGACACTGGAAAGGTTGGGCTCCTCTGTCTTTCCATTGAATCTTAAGATCTCTCCTTCATCTGTCCTCTTCACCTGACCTCCTCATATGGCCTCTTCTCTTCCCAGGATAGCTGAACTTTTTACATAACAGTCTAGGACTCTTAAGAACACAAAAGTGGAAGCTGGAACTGGCACAGTCTAACTTCCACCACATTATACTGGTTGAAGCAAATCACAGGTCCATACTAGAGTCCAAGGGAGGAGGTTATACAAGGACATAAATACTAGGAGGCATGCCGACCACCAATCTCAGAGACTGCCACACCCCATCTAGCCTGGGAGGGATGAGGAATGGGGCAGCCTGCACTATAGGAGGGCATGAGAAAAGAATCAGTCAGTTACACAGATAAGCAGGGGAATGGTATATAAAATCAATGAGCATGTCTACCTAGTACTTGCTGTAAACAAGACACTGAGCTATGCATAGTGAACAATACACAGAGAAATAAACAGAAATAAATACTTTCTTAGCCTCTGAGTCTCTGTGTAAGTCTGCAGCTCAAGAAGAGTTCTGAGGCAGAAACATAAAGTTGGGAGTTGCCAACCCATAGATAGTATTA